TTTTTGAGACAGGGTCTCGCTGTGCGGTTCAGGCTGACCTTGAGCTCACTTTGTAGCCCAGGCTGGTCTCAAACTTTCAGTGATCCTCCTCCCTCAGCCTCTCAAGTGCTGGGATTACAGGTGTGCGCCACCACACCTAGCCAGGTTCTTTCTCTTTCATTCACCTCTGCTCTTCACATGTCCTTTCTTCTTTTTTTTTTTAATTTTTAAAATTTTTTTTTATTTTAAAACATAAAAGAAGGAAAACATTAACAGGCAGACATCCATTTACAAGATAGCGTAAGAACAATACAAACAAAACAGAGTTAGAGACAAAGTGGTAGGAAATTAACTGGGATTGTTGTATAACTTATTGATATCTTCAGAGTGGTTTCTCAGGAAAACAAATAGAGACATACAAGATTGATCAAACAAGTAATCGTTAACTATTCCTCTCTGTAGAGCAATAGAAGACAGTAGCACAACTACGTTAGCTATCCTGTATATACATACTTACATAATTTCCCCCTCTTTCCCTTCTCTTTTCCCATACCCCAGTTGCCCTTTACTTTTGAGCATTTTCCTTTTGTTTCACAATGTCTGTCATACCTCCTAGTTTTTATTACTCTTTCAGGTCCTACACTAGTGAGACAATACGATGCTTACACATGCAGGTCTGATTGCCACATGTCCTTTCTGACTAAATCTCTGGTCTGCACTAGGACCTCGCCTTCATAAATTTCACTTTCTTATTTCCCTTTCCTCATTTGCCTAAACTCCCCCGCTGGTGAAACTGGTAATCTGCTTACTCTGAGTCTGCATCCGAGCAGCTGAACATCACTGAAGAAAAAGTACAGTTGGATAGTAGGTTAGGTTAGGTGGTGGTTACAGAAAACCCCAAATACAGCGGTTTTGTGAGGTAGGAGTTTTCTCTCATAAAATCTGGACGTGGATGGTCCAGGACTGGAGGCTGTGATGGCTGCACGTCATCAGAGGCCAGGCTCCCTCTTTCTTTTGCTTTGCCGTGGGCCTCCACTCTCAGTGTCACCACGTATCTTGAATGGCTGCTCGAGTTCTAGCCACCTGTCCCTGTCCTGTCTAGAAGGAAGGGGAAGAGAGGAGGACATGCCTCTTTACAGGATTTGCTGAAGTTTTGTACACTGCCTCTGCTGTAGTCACATGCCACAGCTGGCCACAAAGAGGCCGAGAAGTGTGGTCTTCATTCCGAATGACTGTGTGTCCAGCGAGAAGTTTGGAGTTCTGCTACTGAGGAAGAAGAGGAGGAAGACATATTGAGGGATAAATGATGCCCCTTGCTACATGAATTGACTGCACTTACTTCAGATTCATGATCATAAAGCTCAAATGACCCCTCAGCATGGTGCTGAAATCCTGGTCCTAATGTAATTTCCTAGTAGATTGATTTCCCCCATCTCTCCTTAAGTCTCTACTGACCTATGCAGTCCCTTTTGATACTGTTTGTTTGTTTTTAAAGACACAGTCTTGTTCTGTAGTTTAGGCTGGCCTTGGACTCACTGTGTAGTCCAGGCTGGCTTCAAACTTGTGGCAGTCCTCCTGCCTCATCCTCCAGAGCACTGGGATTACAAGTGTGCACCACCATGCCTGACTTTTCTGTTAGCTTTGCCTCATGTTTCATGTATATGGTACAATCAGAAGAAACCTTTGTGTTCTTTATTTCCATCAGCTGCTCACATCTAGATGTGAATCTAAAGGGAATTGAGAAGTTGCAGGCTTTCTCAAATTCCTTCTTTTCATAGGGATGCTGTCCAGTATGAGTTATTTTTTATATAGTAGAACTACAGACGTTTTGAAAGTAAAACTATAGAAGCCTTTACCATACTACTTTCTTTCATAGTCCTTATGTTAGTTCTTTTTATGCCTGACAGTTGAACTGTACTGGGAAAGTCTGACTCATATAACCTACATTCATATGATTTAGTGCCAGCATGTGTTGCCATAGTTATTTTAACAGATTTTTTTTGTTTGTTTGTTTGTTTTTTGTTGTTGTTGTTTTTCTCCGGTACTGGGAACTGAACTCACGATCTTGCGCTTGCCAGGCAGGCGCTTTTGCCGCTGAGCTAAATCCCCAGCCCCGCCATAGTTATTTTAATTCCTAAAAGAAAAATGCTTTTCCACATTTCTTATGACTGTAGGGTTCCTTTCCACTCAGTCCTTTCATGCTTTAAAAATAAACTGGAACAGAGTGTTTTCTACATATGTGACATTCATAATCTCCTTCTCCAGTATGGGCTATGAATTCTTCAGCTACTTGCAAGAGATGTAAAATCATCTCATGTTTTCTACATTCGTTAATGGAGTTCTGCTACAGTGAGACCTTTCATGATTAATATCACTGCAAGAATAGAAGCCTTATTATGTTTAGGCCATAAATATCTTAAGGATTGAAACATCCCAGTCTGCATCCTAGCACACTTCTGGGATTAGGAAGTCAGTGGGTGTGAATCTTCTTTTTATTTTATTTTTAAAAATTTTCTTGTTTTTTTTTCTGGTACCAGGAATCAAACTCACAACCTTGCACTTGCCAGGCAGGCACTGTGCTGCTGAGCTAAATCCCCAGCCCTTTTATTGTTTTTGAGATAGGGTCTCACTGTGTAGTTCAGTCTGATGACCTCACTATGTAACTCAGCTGTGATCCTTCTGCCTCAGCCTCCTGAGTGCTGGGTTTGCAAGTGTATGCCAGTGAGCCTGGCTATACCTGATCTTATGGTTGGAGTTGGGGGAAAAACTTTTCCTTGAATATAAAGGAAGAAGTGGCTGTTTGGGATGGACCTGTATTTGACTTCTTAAATTACAGACATCTGTTCTGTCGGAGCCATACAGTCTCCGTCACCTGTTATCTCCATAGGATTCCTCTTGGTGGCCTCTCCTCTAGAAGCTGCATATTAAGTATGTGTGGTGCAATCTTGCTTACTTTGCCTTCTTCTGACTGGTTTTCTTTTAGATCACCTCTGCCAGCTCTCAGACGCTCAAGGGACATGTCCTGTGCAGGACCACACTGAAGGACTCCTTGGCATATTGCTGATGTGAGTGGCTTGGGCAGTCCTTCTCTACAGGAAGTAGGCAGTGCTTCTCTACAGGAAGTGGGCAGTGCTTCTCTACAGGAAGTAATTACTTCTCTACAGGAAGTGGGCAGGGCTTCTCTACAGGAAGTAATTACTTCTCTACAGGAAGTGGACAGTGCTTCTCTACAGGAAAGAGACATGGCTGGCCACTAGTGAAAGAGATGATGACACTTTGGAGACAAATTGCAAGTGGCGAAGCAACTTCATGTTAAGTAGAAAAAATGTATCTTACAATCATTAAATTTACCTAAACTTAATGGCCTCTTTGTCCACTTTTACTTTGTTTTTGCTTTGGTTAGTGTTTCTGGGATATTCTCTCTTTTTTTCCTGGTACTGGGAATAAATTCCAGGACCTTGTACATGCTGGGCAGGAGCTTTAATGCTGAGCTACATCTCCAAGTCTTTTTAAAATTTTTATTTTGAGGCAGAGTCCTGCTAAGTTGCCTAGACTGAGCCTTGAACTTGGGATCTTGCCTCAGCCTTCTGGTAGCTGGAATTACAGGTGTGCACCACTGCATCTAGCTTCTGATGATTGTATCTGATGCCATGGATTCAGCTGCCTGCCCTTTTAATTTTTCTTTCTTTCTTTTTTTTTTTTTTTTTGTCTTTTTTGGAGACAGGGTCTCACTATGCAGTTCAGGCTGGCCTTGAGCTCATTTTGTAGCCCAGGCTGGCCTCAAACTTGCAACGATCCTCCTGCCTCAGCCTCCTGAGTGCTGGGATTTCAGGCGTGTGCCACCACACTGAACTCTTTTTGTATGTATTTTGCCTGAAGATTTCCTCATGGACTTCTCTTTTAGTCTGTGAGTTTACCTTTGCCTTCAGATCTGAGAGCACCTGGAGTTTACAAACTGTGCTTACTTATTGGTAGGCTGCAGCAGTGGTTCTCTGTGCATTCACTACTGCAGTTGTTCTGTTCTCTGGGCATCATGAGAAAAACCCAAGATGTGATAGTGCCACAAGGACTTTGGGTCGAATTTCCACCTCCTTGCTTAAGTGTTGTGTTAACTTGAGTCGTTAACTTTATTTTTCTGAACCTTGGTTTTGTCACATATGATGTGGGGATAACAATACTTATCCCATGTGTAGTTCAGTGAGATTAGGTTTGTAAAGAGTTTCCCAGTGCTGGGCCTTTGTAGAGTCCTCACTGGCAGAGTGACTACTTAGTATGGTCAAGGCATTGGCTCCTATCCTAAGGACCAAACACTATTTCCCACAGAATCTTGTAAGATCCTGACAAATGGAAGTGATCCTTTAAAGGACTGTCCTTCTAAAACAGACTGTATATATTAAGATATGCTGAGGTGTTTATTGTGTGCCTGATCAGGATAGTTTTATTTTAAATAACATCTATTACTTATTTATTTGTAGCTGGGTGTGGTGGTGCATGCCTGTAATCCCAGTACTTGGGAAGCCAGAGGCAGGAGGGCAGGAGGATTGCTGCGAGTTTGAGGCCAGCCTGTACTACAAAGCAAGACCCTGTCTCAAAAAAAAAAAAAATTATTTGTTTAAGACTTTAAAGCATACATGTGGTAAAAGAATCCAAATAATGCAGGACTTACCTATAATCAGTCAATTCTCCTCTTCCTTTTTCCTTTTTCCCTAGTTTCCTTTTACAATGGGAAGCTCTCATAGAGCTTTGCAGAGCTAGTCTCTTTTTTTTTTTTTTTTTTGAGACAGAGTCTGGCTATGCATTCCATGATGGCCTTGAACTCACTTATGTAGCCCAGGCTGGCCTCAAACTCATGATAATTTTCCTGCCTCAGCCTCCTGAGTGTTGGGATTACAGGCGTGCGTCATCATATCCAGCAGAGCTAGTCTTGTTGACTTCGTTTTGAAGCATGTATGCTTCACAAGGGGTTGCAACCAATATCAATGTCTCTATAGAACACTTTTATCATTCCCAAAAGAAATCATGGACCTGTTAGTCATTCCCTGTTTTCTTCTCCCCCACAATCCCCAGAGAACACTAATACTGTATGTACTTTGTGTTTCTATGGATTGCTTATTCTGACCAATTCATGTAAATAAATCATATAGTATGTCGCTTTTGTGTTTAACCTTTTTCACAGCCTGTTTTCTTGATTCATCCACAATGTGGCATTTGTCAGTACTTTATTCTTTCTATGGCTGTATATCTTGTTGCATTTATATACCACATTTGTTTATTCATTCTTCCATAAGTGAACTGCTGAGTTGTGAATTGTGCTACTATGAGTGACATGTAGTTTGTTTGCCTGTTTACACTTTTTTTTGAGACAGAGTCTCTCTGTGTAGTTCAGGCTAGCCTTGAACTCACTATGTAACCCAGGCTGGCCTTGAACTCATGGAGACCCTCCTGCTTCAGCCTTCTCAGTGCTGGCATTATAGGCATACACCCCCATGCCTGGCTCTGCTTATAGTTCTGTTATGGTTTTGACCAAGAAGGACCCTAAAACTCTCACTTGCTGAGACAAGGCTTTTTTTTAATGGAAAAAATAAAACAATTTTATAGCAATAGGAGAACAGTTAATACATTACATATTATTATCTTCAAAGTAGTTACTCAGAATACAAGATAATGGGCATAAAAAATTTTCCAAATGATATTAGCACAAACCTTTCTTTTCAGTAAGTTAAGAGAAACTAGTTGTATAACTATCTTTATCTTGTATTTTTTTTCCTTTTCTCTTCCTTCCTTTCCTTCTCCCCTCACCCTAGTTCTTTCCTTTTGGACAATTTCTTCCCATTTCACAGTATCTGTTGTATATTCTGGTTTTTATGTACTCTTTCAGTTTCTCATACCAGGAAGACAATGCAGTGTTTACACATGTGAATCTGATTTATTTCACTTGTGAGTATGGTCTCAAGTTGCATCATTGGTCATTCGAGAGATGCAAATTAAAACAACACTGAGATTCCATCTCCAGAAAGAATGGCTGTTGTAAGAAATCAACTAATAACAAATGCTGGTACGGCTGTGGGGGAAAAAGAACCCTTCACTGTTGGTGGGAGTGTAAACTGGTGCAGCCACTCAGTATGGAGTACTGGAAATCAGTATGGAGATTCCTCAAAAGACTAGGATTAGAGGTCCCATTCCATGCAGCTATTCCCCTTCTAGATATCTTCCTGTAAGAATTAAAATCATGCTATAGTGATATATGTGCACCCATGTCTATAGAAGCATAGTTTGTAATAGCCAAATCTTGGAAACAGCCCAAATGCTCATCAACTGAAGAATGGATAAAAAAAAAAAGATGTGGCCTTTTTCTATAATGGAGTACTACTCAACTATAAAGAAGGGTGAGACATTTATAGAAAGCGGAGGCAGGCTTTTCAAAGGTGAGTGGGTCATAGGGTATTATGCTGACTTTCTGTTAGAAAGTGGGGCCAGGTTAGAGGCAGATCACTGGGGCGTGGCTTCTCCCCTCACTCTCTGCTTCCTGGCTGCTATGGGATAAGCAGCTTTCCTTCACCACAGACCTGTCTACCATGCCATGTCTGCCTTGGAGCCAGTTGAGCATTGACTATAACCCTGAGCCAAAATATACCTCTTTTCCTTTAATTGTGTGTATCAGTTACTTGTCCTAGTGACAAGGAAAGTGACCAATTGGGTGTAAACCTACTGGTGGGGTTGCTGGGCCATATTTTCTGTGTTTACATTATCAGGAATAGCTAACCTGTTTTCTATAATTATTGAACCGTTTTTACATTTTGACCAGTTACGTAATGGTTCTGATTTGTCCACGTTCTCACCAATGGCTTTGAGGTTTTTAAGCAGGGAAAATACGTGTTTCAAGTGAAGACCACTCTGCCTGCCAGATGGGGAATGAATCATGAGTGGCAAGAGCAGAAGCGGGGAGTCTACTCACCCTGGTGGTTGATGATGGTGACTTGGACCAAAGGGGTGAAGGAGAGAAACACACAACTGGGAGAGATACTCTTTTTTTTGGGGGGGACAAGGTCTCACTGTAGCTCTGGCTGGCCTTGAACTCATGGTGATCCTCCTGCCTCAGCCTCTCAAGTGCTGGGATTACAGGTATGTGCCACCACACCCAGCTGGGAGAGATGCTCTAGAGGATGGATCAACAAACAGGATTTGGTATGTTGGTGAGAGGAGGGAATCGAGAATAATTTCCAAGTGTCTGGCTAGGAAAATGGCGTGTACTGTAGTGCTGTTAACCACAGCAGTATAGTGGGATAGAAGGTGGGAGGTCCCAGCCTTGGAGAAACCAAGACTTCAGGTCTAGGCAGAAAGCTGAAGGTAATAGTGTGATTCGGTCTTCATTTTCTGGGGGTGCTGACCCCTGCTGTGAGGCAAGTCCAGCCTCCAGCCTCCTACCTTAACCTCCTGTTCACGGGTGTCTCCCAAGAATCCAAGGCCCTCCCACTTGGCCCTGTCTCTGAAAATATCCACTACCTCCTGCTAGCATCATGCTAGGCACTGGAAGCCTTTAACACGTGGGCCTTTGGGGGACCTCCAGATCTAAACTACCACCAGGGTGGAAAGGAGCAGAAACACTGGAAGAACATTCTTCATCGTCGTTATCCCTACAGTGCACTGAATAAGTGGGTTTTGTTGCCTCATCATATTACTAGTTTTTTTTTTTTTGTCCTGAGTAAGTTCTTTGATTAATCATAAACAAAGATTTCTGTCAGAATTGAAGACAAGTGAGTCATTTTTGCGTGTAACAAGTTTATTAAGGAGTTGATTAGAACAATGCCAAAAATCCCTGAGTTTTTGCCTTTCTGGCACTTGTTAATTCAAGGTGGTTGGTGAAAACTCCAAAGGGATACTTGACATTTTAAGAAGACTAATTCTACTTGGTTCCTTTTTTTTTTTGGTTTTTCTCCGGTACCGGGAACCGAACTCATGACCTTGCGCTTGCCAGGCAGGCGCTTTGCCGCTGAGCTAAATCCCCAGCCCCTCTACTTGGTTCCTTAATCATAAGGATGTCCTTGGCTCAATATTTCATAGTTTCACAAAATGTTTTTTCTTCCATTCAGAACATTGCCTGGCTTCAGTTACACTAGATTCAGTTTGCTATGAGCAGATCATTCTGTGGAGAGAAAAAAGACAACCAGTTATACACATAAACAAGTAAGCTGAGTGCAGGAACAGTCTGAGGCAGCCAGTGTGCTCTGCCCCTGACCACAGCGCTTGCTTCAGGAATGTGGAACAAGTGTGGGCTGGACATTATTTGAATTATCAGGGAAGGAAATAGTGAAGTTTCTGGTAGGTGGAGGCTTCCATGCAGATTCAACACAATAGACTCAGAAATAGTAGTGATTGATTCTGGTAACATTGTTTGGACCCTGGATTAAGCCTCTCTGAGGATCCAAGTGCAGAATACATTTTAGTGCAAAAGGAAACTATTTGCCGAGTGGTTGTCTAGCTTGCATGAGACCCTGAGTTCTGTCTCTAGCACTGTAAGAAAAAAGTTTCTTACCGATGGTGTTACTATAACATTGCCATTTACAGGAAATAAGGGTACTCCTGATGGTATATTCCAGTTTGCAGTTGATGCTGAAACAAAGACCATATTATGATATGAGTTGAAGGAAACAATAAGTAACTTGGGCGGCCTATTTCAGTCACAGTCAGATGCAGAGAACTCTGGGCAGTATGTGGCTCTAGTAGAAAATCTCTCCTGGGCCCACTCAGGTTAAAGACCTGCATGCTGTCTCCCCAGTCTGTTGGGGTGGGAAGTGGTGGGATCGGTGAAGCAAAGATAAGAGACTCCAGAACCACGTGGAAACCTGGTGGCTCTCCTAACGTTGATGCCAGTGTTGGTCCTGGCATGTCTGATCTTACTACAGCACCGTAAGAGTGAGGGCTGGCTGTTTTGATGGTTAATACATTATTTTGATGTCCTTTAGAATTAACCAGAAATATGTCCGGCTACCCTGCTGTACCATCACCACTGCTGGTCACGAGAGTTACGACTTCAGCTTCCTGAACTGTCAGACCCCTAATGTCTGTGTGACTAGGTGACCTGGGTCCATGTTTCTTTTAAGTGACATGGTGGTATTGGTCCCAAGGACACCTTGTGGACTAGATTTCTTTAGGAGCCATAGAGAAGGCATTTTGATTTGGTTTTTATTTTTACCATCTCAAGATGCTGTCTCCCTGTCTGCAAAAGAAGTGCTATGGTCCAGCTGGTATGGATGATCTTGTACTCAGTGCTGCAGCCCTGTGCAGCATGGTTCACACCTGGGGCCCCTCTCCTGTGACACTGGCTCTCCCAGGGGTCTGGGTCATGAATTCCACATACCATTCAACCCAGAAGTGAGTGACTTCTGAATTTTGAGCAACAGTCCTTTCACTGCATCCTTCTGCAAAGAGATGGGAGGAACATTTTCATCAAAGCTCCCAGCAAGGCATCACATCCCGGGAAAGCAGTCTTAGAGCCTGTGCACCTGCAGGTTTTTTCTAATAAGTTATATTCTGGACAAGGCCAGGAGGTGGAGCTCAACCCACCCCTCAGGCCACTAAATCATTAGGAGTTTTCCATGACCTTCAGTAGTTGTCACCTTAGGTGGCTTTTTAAATGGAGATTTCTTGGGTTTCTGCTATGTGCCAGGTCCCTGGAGATACAGCAGGCAGCTCTGTGCCTTCAGCACAAACACCAAGATTAGTGGTGGGTAGGGCTGCTGCCTCTTTTGCACTAGATGTGAGACCCTCCCAGAACTGGTCCTCCCTGCTGGTGCTTTCCTTCCCTTCCCTGTCCCCACACCACCCTCTCCTGTTGGCCCGGAAGTCCAAGCTGCCTATTCTTTGCACATCTAGTTCCACACTTGCTGTGTATGGTCAAGTCCTCCTCTTCCTTTCACAACTGAGTTTGGGCACAATTTTGGTTAAACCTGCTGTGTGCCTTCCAGCTGATGCATTTTCCATTTTGTCTTCATAATGAGTTGGAAACTTTTTGTGTAAATGTCTGTGTCTCCTGCCAGGTGTGTAGTTACACTAAGTTGGAGATCAGCCCTTCTAAGTTGCTTCCCCTGGGCACAGAGCTTTGTATGTCTTATAGCTGCTTGGTGAGGTTGAGACAAAGGGAACACCAGGCTTGAGATGATCCCCATAGTGTGCTTCTTGGCTCTCTCATTATCTCAGGGCTGATACAGGGGACCCAGGCTCCAAACCAGGCATCATAAGGTTGTATACTTCCGGGCACCTATTGAAGCCTCCAGTCTCTTAATAACTTTTGCCTACTTTCTGTGTGTTTATATGTATTCTTTCAGCCCACACACTGGCATATCAATTCAAAGAATTAGGCACTTGTCACCACTTCAGGTGACATTTATAGGGCCAGGCACATAGTAGTGCTCAGTAAGCATTTGTTGAATTAAGGAATAACAGGTCAAGATCACACGTCTGAAAGTTGGGGTTGCTTGGTGACCCTTCTGTCATTTTCACCACAGTTGCTGGAGCCTGGAGCCTGGGCCCTTGGCTCCACCCTCACTGTCTGCTCTCTTTCTTCCAGGCTCTTCCCTGGTTATCTATGTGCTTGCCTCACAGAATGCGCCCACTCTGAAGAGCATGAGTGGAAGCCCCTCACAGGGAGCTGAGGACACAGGAAGCTGGCTATGTTTATGGGAGGCCCTGGTGAGCAGAGTCAGATTAGATCTAGGTCATCTTCTCATGTTTCCACTGGGTCCCCAGTCTGCTAACAAATCAGAATATCCAGGATGCTATGAAAGTGCAGATTCCAGGCCATTCACTAAGTCTGGCAATCTGTAGTGGGCTGGGGCAGCTGTGTTTGAGGTTGTCCATGATCTAGTGTTCATCCTTCTCAGAGTCCCTGTGTCACTGACCATCGGGCATTATTTTTCATATACTGTAGGTAAGTATGCTGAAAACAACATCAACTTACTAACTCAGGAGGATTCACAGTGTGCTCGGATCTGTCAGGAAACAAAGCACAGAAAACTATTAGGCCCATATGAAAAATACAACTCAATTGAAGAGTTTATCATTTCAGGTGCTTCTGAGTACAAGTCAGTTATAAATTAGGAACTTCTGACCTGAAAGGGCAAACTTAAGATAAAGTTTAGGGAGCCTGTGAGTGTAATTTTGATTGTGATTTCCTTGTAATTAGCCAAGTATTTCCCGAGCCTTATGCATTATTGTGCTCATGTGTTGGTATGCTTTTCTATACTGTATTACATTGACGGTGAAATTATATGGTCAGTCATAGGCAGTACCTTGAAGATTCAACGTTTACTATCATTTTGCCACTTGAAATCTTGCCAGTGAGTTTGACGAATAAGACCTGGAATAAAGTAATTGTGCATTAAACGTAATACCTTGATCTGGCTACTCAGCAAGCATATCACATCATGAGGTGACCAGCAGGCTTCTGGTTCAGGACCAGAATGAGGCCTGCTTAGCCTCATGCTTCCAGACCAGAGTGCTTGCTCCATATTCCCTTTGGGGGCTGAGCTGCCGGAGTGGCTGCTCACTTCTCCTCATGATGTCCAGGCCCTTGGGGTTTGGTAGCAGCTCACCCTATTCCACACTGTTCCTTGAACTTCCTCTCACAGCTCAGTTCCTGTTCATTTCTCAGTACTTACCGATTCTGCCTTAGCAAACACCTCACCATTCCTTTTTATGGTAGTCCAGTAAACGACCCGAATGCTGTTACTGTCTGTCTTAAGGTTGGTGTTTATCTTGGTAATGCTTCCCTCCAGGTTCTCTGACTGTGGTAAAGAAGTTGTCAGTTAGAGTGTGGAGAGGAAGAAGGACTACAGATACCGTGTCATGAACTATGCACACATCATTTACAGCAGAGAACTTAGTGATCCTCTAGTATGTGTTGATCACGTAACTGGGTGCTGGCAAAGCTGTGATAGCCACACAGGTGAGGCCAACTTCCCGATGTCTTCTTATACCTCATTTTCTTCCTGGGAGGGACAGGGGGCATGTAACATGTGACGTATGCCTTGTCAAGTACAAAGCCTGTTTGTATGGCCTTGTGGCAAGACAACTCTGAGTTGATCATTTAGAGATGCTCTGATAACATACTGTTTATTGCTTCAAACTGGTTTGTCACATAGAAAGCATTCTTTGTTGTTGTTATTTTTTGGTGATGGGGGTTAAACTTAGAGCCCCATGCATGCTAGGCAAGTGCTCTGCCACTGAACTACATTCCTAGCCCAGTCAGTCACTCTTGATGTTGTTACTTCCTCTCACCCCTTTTAGGGCTAAGAGCAAGTGAATACTCCATGTGTAGATAAGCCCAGGACTATTGCTCCTTGTGAGAGTATTGATAAATTAATTCTCTCCTTTAGGCCCTGTGTAAAATGGGGATAAGAATACTTCTATCCAAGTGCTGTTGTGAGGATAAAGTGACATTAATTATGTTATGATGCCCATCTGTATACCTGATACACAGATGGCACTCAAAAAGTGTTGCCAGGAGTGGAGGCATGTGACTGTAATCCCAGCTACTTGGGAGGCTGAGGCAGGAGGATTGCAAGTTTGAGGACAGCCTGGGCAATTTAGCAAGACCCTATCTCAAAAATGTAAAAAGGGCTGGAGATGTAGATCAGCGTACCGATGAGGCCCCTGGTTCAATCACTATGTAGTAAATGTTTTTTCCTGTTTTCTGTTGATGGAAACATCTGATCATTAAGGGAAACTGTGTATCTATGGCACTGATCAGATTGATCTCTGGAAGAATGTTCGGAATCCATTTGTATCCCCACCTTCTCATTCTCAGAGGCTGGCAGACACTCAAGCAGAGCTGTGCCAGGGGCTGTGTAGATGACGCTTACCTTGATGGAGCTCTGCTTGGCACTGTGCTTGACAACTGTCTTGACCATCATATTGGACATAGCTATGGAAACATTGGCATCTTTAGGATGTGGAGGGAGACGACCTCCAGGCACGGGGACTTCTGCTTTGTCAAAGAGGGCTTTAACCTGGAAAGAGAAGAACAGGGTCAGTCTGGGAGACAAGGCCAGAGTCAAGGCCTTTGGAGGGCTGGCCGCAAAGGTGAAGGGCCAGCTGGCCTGGTGAGTGCTGCGTTGGGGTGAGCACGGCAGGGAGTGACAGTTGACCTCCTGGCTGTGTTGGGCCACCCTGTGGGGAGTGGTAGGTTGTGGTGACTTGATAATGGCCCCAATGCAGGGCAGTTTGGAGCAGCCTGACCTCTGATTTTCTAAGAGAATCCACAAATCCTTATTTTCCAGGCAAATCTCCCCCTACCCCCGTTTACTTGTGGATTCCAGGAAGGTGTATCTGCGTTCACAGTCCTTCCTTTCCCTGACACATTTTGCCAACCTAGGAGGCCCTAACTCCCTCCTTCCTTCCTGCCCTTAAAGCCCATCTTGCCAGGAAATCATTTCCCTGATAGTGTAGCATCCATTAATCAGCCTCTTTTTTGTATGCATTCTCTCCTCTGCTTATAAAATGCAAACATCACATGGTGGGAAAGTTGGAAAATTTAGATAAGTAGGAAGAATAAAGAGAGATTCCTACCTAACATCACTGATACTCCCATGTATCTTGCTTGCATGGTTCATTTTTATTATACTTTGTAAAATTAACAATACCTGCATAGCATTTCTGTGTACTGTACCTACAAACCTGAAACATTTGGATTGATCTTATCCTTAGCTTTGCTACTTCCTTTTAGTTTTTTCTAACCTCATCACAAACCATGGAGTTGTTTTGTGCTTTAGTGTCTGTACTTAGGTTGCGTCAGATGGGCTTACAGAAGTGAAGTTAGCTAAGTCTAAAATGTTACCCCTTGGGGCTGGGGATTTAGCTCAGTGGCAAAAGTGCTTGCCTGGCAAGTGCAAGGTCGTGAGTTCGATTCCCGGTACCGGAGAAAAACCAAAAAAAAAAAAAAAATGTTACCCCTTGCCTGCACTTTTTTCTCATTTTGCCCTCCGAGATGGTGCAGAAGGTGGCTGGAAAGAGTTGGCACTTTCTGTTTTGTTGTACATTGTCTGTTGAGTGTCTGCACCCAGGCTGGGCAGATCCTAATGGTCAAGACATGGCTGTCTTTGTTGGAATGCCTCTCAGGACACTGGCCATGGGACTGAAGTGGAACAGAATACACAGCGGAGGCTAGGGGATGGCCCTCAGATGTTGCTATGAAAGCCTTGGAGATTGAGCCCTGATTATAGGTGTGGGGATCCGAGTGGGGGTGATAGCTGGTTTGTTCTGTCCTGATCTATTTTATGAGGTCAGGTGTGCCACCAGCCTTTGCTCAGAAGCCATCATTAGGACAAAGAACACTTACGCAGTAGAGGATTGAAAGGCCTTCTGGGCAGGTTCTTGAAGATCTTATGTGGAACTGGAATAAGCCAGTGGCTGCAGGGGAGAGGAGAGAGAGAAATGGAGAGAGCACAGCCATTTCTAATAGCCCTTGTGCCTCGGCTCTGTGCCTGGCATTTCCTTCCTGACTGGTACCAATGTGGAGAGCTCCTGTTCTTTGGGTTCCAAGCCAAAATCCCAGACCCTTCCTGGCTCTCCTCCTGATCTGGAAGGGTATGGTGGGAAGGAAGCCCACAAGGATTTGTCTCTTCTCTCATTTACCAGAACATCCACGGAGAGGAAAAGATTTGCTACTCTGGAACTTGGCAAATGATTTCCTGCTTCAACTGTCCTGCACTTGCCAACCCACCATGTCCTGTCATCCCCATCTCTCAGCATATGAGTGGGAATTTTAAGGAATTTCTTGACTCTCAGGCTCCCAGTGGAGAAGGGTAGGACTGCTCTTTGTTCTGACTCTGGCCAGGTGTGTGCTTTGTGGGCTGGGGATTTAGGGCTGGGGCTGGGGAGCTCCATGGACTCCTGAGCAGATCTTTGTTCTCTTCCCTTCCTGGGGAGTAAGTTAAAATGGCCTAGAGAAAGTGGTGAGCTGGGACCTCCCTCTCTCAAGGGCTGGAGGAGAGGCCAGCGGGTGGGTGCCTGCTGGTGCCGGATGCGGTATCTCAGCCCTGCCTCGCCACTCTGATCCCCCACCCACCCAGTGGCCTGCTGTAAGGAGTGACGGCTGTCTCTGCACTGTGGTGAGCTTCCCCAAGGAGGGTGTTTGTACTCACAGTTTTTGCACTCATTGAAATCGCTGAGAACAATGGCACAGGACTCTGAGTTGTCGACCTATGAAGTAATTGTCTGTCAGCCTTACCAAGGAAGTCCAGTTAGCCTGTTCTCCTTAGCCCATCTTCTTTTTCTCCCTTGCCCTTTCACTCTCCTCTGTCCTATTTTCCTGGCCTCCTTTTTGACAAAAGTCATCTATCCCTACCCCCCAGCCTGAGACATTGCCAGGCCTGCTTCTGGGCAAGTTGGGCCAGAGAGGCTGCTAGTCCCCTGTCGTGGGGACTCCAGAGGGGCTGATGCTGCATTCCCACGTCTCTCCTAGCATCAGGCTCTTTCTGAGGCAAGAGCTCCTCCTTCTCTTTCCCCAGTGATGGGGGCCTCCTAAGGGTGCCCTCCTATTTTCCAGGACTTACGTTCTCCTGTAACTCTACTGACAACACTTTAGGGACGATGTCCTTCAAGGGCAGTGGCATAGGAAGAGGCGCAGTGTCTGTGACTCTAGGAAAGATGCATGTGCAGAAACAGCATGAGTCTCACGTTTCTAGATTTCCCTAAACATTGGGTAAACTGACCCATTGCTGAAACGGCCCTAAGGGTGTCCTGCTGCTTAGTGTGTGTGCACACCTGAGCCTTTTCATCTTCATTATTAAGATGATGCAAAGATACCTGACAAAATGACCAAAGCACGGGTGTCTGTCCAGCAACCTCTCTGGGGGAGTTCATTCCTTGGATACCTGTGCATGCTGCTGGGCAGACATGTCTGCAGTTTTGTTTGTTGTGGAGAGGTACAGAAGTTAATAACTGACAAGGGATTGGCTCAAGAAAATATAGTGCATATTCATGAGAGAATACTAGGGAATCTTAAAGAGTGAAGCTGTTCATGTACTTGATGATATATACTCCCAGCTTTTTTTCTGATAATGAGGCTAGCTAGCACTAGGCAAGTGCTCTATTACTGAGCTATATCCCCAGCCAATAGCTATTTTTCTTTTTAATGTGGAAGGATCAGAGTTTAGAAAGAGCCTGGATCCATTAATTGCTTCCAAGGAGAATAGTTAGCCAGTTGGCAGGTATGGCTAGGAGAAAGACGTTTTACTCTATGGCCTCCTTTTTTAAAACCCAGGTGAATGTATTGCTCATGCAAAAAATAAAAATAAAAACAAAGACCTGAAGTACAGTTAGCAGGCAGAATGAAGGGTGTGTGAGAGAAGGCTCTTCTCAACTCCAATGGGTCTTTTCTAAGCAGAGGCCCTTCTCTAGGCCTGTGCTGAAGCTATTGCGTTAGAGGGTGGTGACGCAGGACATTCTGGCACATAGACAACTTGATCCAGAAAAGGAGAAAAATGGTCTTACGTCTCTAATATCCGAAGGCTCACTTTCTTGACATGGATATTTGTTTCCTCGATATCAAGGCTGATGCACTGGGTGTTGTTTGTGGAAATAACAACTTTCAGAGATATATTCAGGTGCACTTGAAATCCCATTACTGTGATGATGGGTCCAGCCACGCTGTGGAGAGCAAGATACAAGTGAAACTGGGCTTGGCTTTAAGGTGAGGCACAGGTCAAGTGTTAAGCATTTTGGGGATCAGCCTTACATATTTGTGAATTAACGTATTTGTTAGCTGGGGGGAGGAAATAGCTGGTCTCTTCTAGTCCTCATGCCCTAAGGCTGGCCTGTTTTCGGCCATGAGAGCCCAGAGCTGAGCTCATGGTTGACAGTCAATAAACGTTTGACAGAAACCGCTGTCCTAGACAGCTTGTAGGTCATCTGTTGATGGTACACGGCCGTCTGTTACAGGTTCACTTTTATGCCCAGCACTTAGGCTTTTTGTCGTGTGAGCTACAGAATGAGAAGCCCGTCAGGGAGCAGAGCCTGTCTTAAAGTGGGAAGTTTTGAAGAAGACCGGTGACTCTCCCTGACACTGTGTATGGTAGTGTCACAGATATTGAGTCTGAAGGCAGCCTGCCCAGATTCGCGCCCTCCCTGTCACTTCTGTGCTCTAGCTGTGTGACTATGAGCAGAGGTAATTGTCTTCACCAGTCTGCAGTGGTTTCCAGTGTTGAAACAGCACTGCTTTTCTGGTACAGTTGTGGAGAGGCTTTCATGAAGTCCTAGCTAGTTAGGTGCCTGGCATGTGCCAGGACAGTGAGAGGTATCAGTGCTGTGTGTCTTAGTCCATAGAACCATCTCCCCCCAGTGGGAGGTTCTGTCCCTCTGATGTCTTCCATGGGCTCACAGCTTACACTGTTAACACAGTCCTCCCCCACATGTTAATGCTTCCTGAGGACAGAGACCACCGTTAGTCTTTCCTTTGGGCTGAATATGGCGCTGTCCCAGAGTGATGTTTCTTAACTACACATCAGGTGGATGAATGGATGGATTAATATGTGCAGGAATGTTTACATTTGTAAATTCCCTGAGGCCATTTCAATTATCTGCGTTTCCCCAACCCACTAGACACAGAATGGCCCGACTCTCCATGGAGCCCAGAGTAAAGAGAGACTACATTTCATATAAGGCCAATGTGGATGTCAAATGGGATGTGTTATCTGTGGTTTCTTCCCTCATTACCCAGGTATGAGCTTCTGCAGATTTCTCACGAGCATCTTTGTTCACACCATTGGAGGATGAAGCTCTCTATGTGTGGTAGCCTACTCTTCCCCCGTGCAGCTATGCACTGTGTCCTCTTAACCTAGCTCTTGGACATTGGATCTTATAGCCTCAGTCCTAGGTGGTCCAGGGGACTGGAAACAGGCTCACCCTTCTCCCCCAATGGTAGCAGTAGTTGTGGCCATGATGTCGATCCCATCGCCTGTCACAGTTGAATTGATGGCCTCTGTCTCCACGGTTTCAATATTTAATCTGCAAAGCGGCAGCATCAAGAGTTAGTTCTGGCTCAAGAAATCACCTGGGCTGTGGGAGAAATGCCTTTGTTTTTTTTTTTTTTTTTTTTTGGTTTTTCTCCGGTACCGGGAACCGAACTCACGACCTTGCGCTTGCCAGGCAGGCGCTTTGCCGCTGAGCTAAATCCCCAGCCCCGAGAAATGCCTTTGAAATAGCTAGTTAGACCTACTAAGCCACCCCACCATCCATTCCCTTTATCCCTTATTTCCTTTACCCACCCAGTTCTTTAAGCTGAAAAAATTCTTTTTGTATACTTTTTAAATTTTGTTTTTAGTAAAAGGTGAAAGATTTATATGATCTGAAGAGAAACCAGAGTATAAATTTTGTTTTTAGACAGGATCTTACTTAGTAGTTCAGGCTGGCTTTGAACTCACTCTCTAGTTCAGGCTGGCTTTAAACTCATGGCAGTCCTCCTGCCTCATCCTCCTAAGTGCTGGGATTACAGGCATGTGCCACCATGCTCAATTTAAACTCAAGAAGTCTTAATAGATTGCTGGGTGTGGTGGCACATGCCTGTAATCCTAGCACTCTGGGAGGCAGGAGGATCTAAAATTGGAACCCAACCTAGCCAACTTTGTGACTTAGTGGTACCCTGTCTCAAAAATAAAATAAAAGTGGACAGGGGATGTAGCTCAGTGTGAAGGCCCTGGGTTCAATCCCCAGCACTGAAGAAAAAACAAAAAACCTTTTATGGTATTACCCCCGGGAGGGCACAAGTATATTGCTTTGTGAAAGGGTGATTGATGGTTTCACAGGGATTGTTGGAGTTTGAACTTGAGTGTCCTAATAAGCAGATTTTTTGAGCGGGTATGGAAAGATTCAGGGTCAAGGAAGCACTTACCCCAGCAAGAACTGTTTTAGGTCAAGGTTTCCCAGTGCACCTTTGAGTGCGTCAGTGGCTTCTGTTGGCAGGATATTCTTCACCTTGTCCATGGCGGAATCTTTGAGGCTCTTAGCGCTTCCAGCCACATCATTCAAGGACTCGAGGTTGGGGAGATCAGCACTGTCAAGGAGCCCTTTTACAGGACCTTTGTCTGCTCCAGAGCCTAGCAAGCTGCCCACACCCAGGTTGTCAGCAGTTTCACCAACTTTGGAGAGGGATGGGAGCTTTGGCGAGTCGGCACTCTTGCTGCCCATGCCTAGGATACCACCAATGCCTCCATCTCCCATTTCTAGGAGTGAAGTGATATCTACCAGATTGATCAGGCCAGAGGTTTCCACTGTGTCTAACACTTCCCCAAGCACTCCGACTATGTTAACCTCCTCACACTTCACCAGCTTCTCAATCTCCGGGGGCACAGTGGCATTCAGATCTGAAAAAATCAAGAGACAATTTCCCGCCGCCAGTTGCCTACTCAGCTCAGCTGAAATTGTGAGGCACATGGAACTGTGTGGACTTCTGGAAAGATCCATCCCTGCTATTGCCCACTTCCAGGGCTGCCTTGTGTCCCCTTGTGCAGAAATCACATTTGCACCTACACTGGCGCCAGCCTGGTGTTGAGCATGTTGCATCTAAAGTGATTTGAGCATGCCATCCAGGAACCTAGATTGGGTTTCGAGCTTTGCAGTCCAGGGCCCAGTGTTGGTTCTATCCCTCAGCAGCTGGGTGGCCTATGCCAGGGTTTTTGTGCTTTTGGAGCCGTCTTTGCATGGAGCTAATAGCAGGAAGTGCTGTAGGGGCTGCACGTGGAGGATGAGTGAGAGGGCGGTGGGTTGTAAATGCTGTGGAGATAGGAGGCAGCTGGGAAGATGGTCATGGAGCAGACAGATCTGGACCCTTTCCCTCTCTGTCTTTGTGTTATTGCCCAGTCTCTTCCCTCTTTGGGCCTCGTTTTCTCCTTGTAGGGCATTGGGAAATCCTGTCATCTGGACAAGCTGCTACGAGACCTCCCTCCCCCCATGTGCTGACATTCTCCTGCTCATTGATCTCTTCAGGCCAGAATGGGTGCTAATCATGTTTCCCTCCTTCTGGGCCATGTCTGGGCAGGGAGAGGTGGAATCCCAGATACTTGTGGGATGGAATGGAGGGCAGCCCTCAGCTTAAGAGAGTTGCCAGGCCCCCAGGGCCTTAGGAGAAATTGGAGGAAAAGAGTTATGAAATCTGCATGATAGTCACCCTTGCTGGCCTTGAGGCTGAGGTGTATTGGAGAGAGGTACTGCATTTATTCTCCAGGTAAGGAGCAGTTGGACGACCTAACTGCATTTAACCTCAGCCCTTGTGGAGCCAAGTGGGTCCTGGGCTCAACAACCTTAATGCTGTTTCCCTTGCCGAGAACTCTACATTCAGGAGCATCTGCCTGTGTGGGGTGATGTGGTCACATCTCAGTCCCAGGCTTATGCCAGAGGCAATGTGTTGCACACCCCTCAGGAAACCTTCACTAGAATATGTATTGGATTTGGAGCAGCATTGCTTGGAGTAGCAGAAAATTGGAAAGAACCTACAACTGGATAGATACATAGACCATGGAGGATTCATCCAGCAGAATAGTTTTTTTTTTTTTTTGTACCGGGAATCAAACCCTGTACCTTGTGCTTTGCCAGGCAGGCACTTATGCCCCTGAGCTATATCCCTGGCCTCAGAATAGAGTTTTGAAAGTGGATTGGCAGGATTTTCTCATTAAGACATGGATGAATTGCCTCCCAAACACACACTTGAGGGACACCAGGCCACCTATTCTGGAAACTTTCGAATATGTGGTACCATCTCTTATGCTGGTGAGGAATAGTTATATGTTGGGACTGGGAGTGTAGCTTGTGGCATAGCATGCACCTCACATGCTCAAAGCCCTGGGTTTGGTCCCCAGTACTGCCTAACAACAACAACAACAACAACAACAACAACAACACAGCAACAGCAACAACACCATAGCTGTGTATCTGTATATCTCTGTCTCTCTGTCTCTCTGTGTGTCTCTATCTCTCTCTGTTTCTCTGTGTCTCTGTTTCTCTCTCTCTCCCCCCCCACCCGTGGGTGAAGGAACAGAGAAGAAGAATGCTGTATCCTGGGAGTGGACAGGGCCTCTAGCCCCTTGGCTAGGTTTATTCCTTAATCTGTGTTGGGTCATGAGTATTTGTTTTCTTTATCCTTTAACATTTTCCTAAACATCTGAATGAGCATTTAATAGCCACGATCACCAAATTGCTGCATGATATGTACCCAGGTGTTCTTTTATCCCTGTGTGAGCCCTTCCTACATTGGAAGTATTTTGTAACAAGGAAGGATGGTGACAAGAGCTGAGCATGTGTTCCTCAAGAGGCAGAGCAGTGGCTAATGGCGATGTGGGTGTGGTCCCTGGTCACTCAACAGGTCCTGTGTTCCTCTCTGTCATCCTGTCCTAGGCCATGTTTGCAGACTACTGCTGAGGGAGCTGTGAGGGCTTTTCTGCTGGTCTTTGATTGTCAGTGAATCCTTCCTTCTTCCAGTTTCCCAAATGGAGCCATTTCTTTGTCAAGCCTTCAGTTCCTGAGTTCCTATACTCTCAGTCCGGGATTGGGGCCCAGGCATCCCTTCTCTCTACAAGCTCTCAAGGCATGCTGGGGCCTCCTCGTGTCTGGTAACCACTTGTTCCAAAGATGGGACCGGCCCTTTTGGCTTAGAAATGAAAACCCTGTGTGGAGGGTGTCAGGACCAGAGGTGTGCAGGCAAAGCCATTCTTACTTACATTCACTGAGTTTCTCAGCAGACAGGAAGTACTTGGAGGCAGGTGCACACTGGCCTTCTGGGGTCTCAGGTGGCTGTTTTCTGGGTGGAAAGGTGTTTTCGGGCGGGGGACTTCTGAAACCCCATGTGGGTGGAAGAGGAAGAGGAACAGGTTCTACATAGCGCACAGGGGATAGCGAAGGAAGACTTTCCACTGGCGGTGAATCTAGTGAGACAAGTGCTCCACCTTGTGCGGCCAGCATGATGGCCAGGGCCCAGAGCGTCCACATCCTGGTGGCTGACACCTGAAAAGAAGGGCTTCGTCAGACACATTCACTGTGGGCCAAAGGGCCAGCACATACGCTTGTATAGAACAGCTTCCAGGCACTTGGAGGCCTCCACAGGCAGACACTAGCGTCCAAACACTGTGTTCACGGGAACATGTTCCACTACATGTCTTAAGGAAGGAGCCCTTTCCTACTTTTATTTTGGTTTTGCAGGAATGTCCTCTAAGCACTGGTTGCAGCATTTAGATGCAGTCCATGACCTGCCCAGTGGCCTGACCTCTTTGGTCACACATCCCTGCCATCTCCCTCATCAAGCAGCCTCTGTGCTGTCTTCATCACCACCTGGGAGTGTGGAAAGTTTAAAGTTCCACAGCAACAATCTCAGGTCTACTTCCTCACTGGCTTGTGTCAAATAATATCTGTCCTGTGAGCCAGCTTAGTAGGTACCCGTCAAGTGTGCTGAGCCCTTTATCTGTGACATCATATGGATTCTGCAAGATGTGCTAGGCATTAGCTCAGATCATTCTTTCTGTTTCCACCTCAGGTCTTGGTTGGGAGGCAGAGGGCTGGGTAAAAGCCCAACAAAGCCCTTTGTTTGTGCGGTGCGCTGGTGACTTCTGGAGATCTGTCCCACCTCTCACGCTCACTTTCTTCTCTCACCACAATTCCCTGAGAGTTTTACCTTCTAACATTTAGAATAATGAGGAGGCTTGAGTGTGTAACGTTTTCCTGAAAAAAGGGAATTCTCTCTGGAATTCATCACCGGTTGCCTTTCTTTTTCTTTTTTTTTGAGACAGGGTCTCACCGTGCAGTTCAGACTGGCCTTGAATTCCAAATAAATAAATACAAGCATGTCCTTACTCCAACCTCCTTAAATACATCCCTAGTTTACTATGACCAGTGTATCTTCAGTAGTATGCAATCCTGTTTCCAAATAAATACCCTTTAGTGAATCTTTCTGATTATTATTTAGGTTGACACCGAGCATAAGCATTAACAAATAGCAAGTCATCTGTTTTCAACACCAAAAAGAGGGTGGTTATGGCATAAATAGGAATCAATGACAATTCATCACCCTGAATAAATTAATCTTTTTTAATAAAACTCATCCCTTTTTCAAAATTGGTTTTGTCATTTTATTCTCATCTGTGAGGTATTTGAACTGTATATCATATGACATCTAAACACACTTTAAGGGGAAAATAATCTTATGCCACGTGAATGAGTTGATGGCAATATTGTTAAACTTTGAGTAGAGCAGAACTCTTGGGGAATCCCAGTAATAAATTTCCCCCTCTCTTAAAATCACATAGCAAGAGCCAGGTGTGGTGGTGCATATCTGCAATCCCAGCACTTGGGAGGCTGAAGCGGGAGGGTTGCCAGGAGTTTGAGGCCTGCCTAAGCTACATAAAGAGTTCAGGGCCAGCCTGAACTCCACAGTGAGTCTCAAAAATCAAACAAAAGAATATCATGTAACAGATGATGGGTAACCACTTGTCCCAAGCTGGGCAGAGTGCTAGGCATTGGCCAAGGGGCATTATCAGACTCTAAACTCAGGAACCCTGGTTGTAGGTCCTTACTTGACCTGCCCTATGTCTGTGCCCATCTCAGAGCTTCCACTTTCTCCTCACACATCCTCTGCAGCAAGTTCTTACCTTGCCCAGTGTTGATGGTCAACGTTCTCAGAAGCTGCGTCTCCTCCTGCTCTTGTCTCTGAAGTACTGATGAGAGATTTGCATCCCGTTTTATAGACCGAAGTCTCTTAGAAAAGTTGTCAGAGGAAATGGGACATGATCCAGGTTTGCTGATAAGGGTGGCATGGTGCAGGCTGCCTTCCAAAGTCAGCACCTGTTTATTGTTGTGACCTGCTGGTATCTCCTCAAGAGGTGTTCAGAGTGCTTGGAGCTTCTTGGAAGGGGCAGGCTGTGCATCTGTGCCCTTCTCAATTTACACTTTTTTTTCTAGTGTGTGTGGTATTGAGGATTGAATCCAGGGAGGACTAAGATATACTCCTAGTCCTTTTTATTATTATTTTTTAAAATCTTGAGATAGCGTCTTACTAAATTGCCCAGGATGGCCTTGAAATTGTGATTCTCCTGCCTCAGCCTCCCAAGTACCTGAGATCACAGTTGTGCATTACCACACTTATTTTACACCTTTTTAGGCCTGGTATCTTAGAGCTATGAAGGTGCTGAGCGAGTGTGAAAGATCAGAAGCCCTTTTGGTGCTTGCCTGGTGCCCAGGGCATAGTGGCACTCAGTACTGAGTGAGCAACCCCAGGCCCCCCAGGTGAGGAACCATGATAGCAGTGTGGGTCCCTGTGCACAGAGTGTTCAGGGATGGTTCCTGTCAGGTACTGCTGTCTCTAGCATGAGTGATGTGAAGCACCTAGCAGTGCTAGCAGATCTAGAGGGCCTGGAATGTCCAGACAGCCTGAGCGAGGAGGCAGACCAAGGATGGAGGCCTTGAGGGTGTCCACCCTGGGAGTCAGATCACCAACTCGGCCCCCATTCCCTTGCCTAGTTCCCTTGGAAGAGACATGAATGTTGTCAGCAGCCCGCTGTGGTCCCCGTTTATAGGAATGGTGCAGTGGTAGAGCATTTTCCTAGCATGTGTGAGGCCCTAGACCGAACCCCATTATCAGAGAGGGGAAAGAAAGAAGGAAGGAAGGAAGCAAGGAAGGAAGGAAGCAAGGAAAAGAAAAAAAAAAAGAAAGAAATTCCAGTCTCAGGTTACCTACTATCTTACTGTCACCTGCTGTTTCATTTAATGGCTCCCCAGATTCTAGGACCTCAGGCTTTCCTTCTATTTCCAGAGAAGGCCACTAGGTTCCCACAGCTAGGAGCTTTGTGAGATTTTCCTGTACATGCTGTCTGCCATCTGTGCTATGCTAAGGGGTGGCCAGTGCCTGCTTCAGGCCTGCTGGGGCTGTGCCTTCAGCCTGAACTCCAACCTGACCTGCTCCTCACTCAGGTTGGCCAAGGCTTGGCTGGGATCACAGTTGTCCGTGATAAACAGGTGCCAATTCTTAATGGCCTCTCTGTGAAGAGATCACAGTAGAAGAGCAGGGCACTCTCCAGCCCCACTGGGGGTCTTCTACTCTAATGTCAGCTAAAGTTTTCTTTGCCAAAGAGCCCGTGTGGGCCTTGCTGAAATGTCAGATATGAAGAACAAATGACAGTTGACCTTTTCTCAGAAGGCAGAACTTGGAGTTTTAATATGATGATCAGTAGCAGACAAACCCCAAGTGTCCAGGGTCTTATTTTTCTTGGACATTTGAGGGAACTTGAGTCATCTTTTAGATGAAATCTGTGCCATTGGGGGTGGATGTGCCCTTTGATATGCCCAAAGGAAGAACCCAGGTCCAGAGGTGGGAAGGGAGCACATCCGGGAGGCAGCCTCTGATGGCCCTTGGCGCCTCCTGGTTCTTTGTGTTTCTCTCCTTCAGCTTTAGGAGGTGGGGTGGGCATTGCACCCTGCTAATCCAGGATGTGCGTGGAGTGTGTCGTGCAGGCCAGTTTATCAGCTGGGGGAGAGGCCTCACAAAGACCCACTTATCTCGAGCCTTAAGTGATTTGATTTGCTCCTCATTTAGGTTGGCCAAGGCTTGGCTGGGATCACAGTTGTCAGTGATAAAGCAGGTGCCAATTCTTAATGGCCTCTTTGTGAAGAGATCACAATAGAATGGGTTGGGCCCAAGTAGTATTGTCGGACATATTGGGATTTTGACCTTTCACAAGTGTTTCTTTAGTCACTCGCACACACAATGCACATGCTTGTGGACACCTTTGTCCTCTTGTCTTTTTTTTTTTTTTTTTTTTTTTTTTTTTTTTTTTTTTTTTTTTGGTTTTTCTCCGGTACTGGGAACCGAACTCATGACCTTGCGCATGCCAGGCAGGCGCTTTTGCCACTGAGCTAAATCCCCAGCCCCTGTCCTCTTGTCTTTTTATATACCTGTCTGTGTCTGGTCATCTGGAACACAAAGGTCGTGTTTGGCATTCTTGTCTCCATGTTCTCTGGCATAATTAATCTCAGATCTTTGACTGTCACAGTTCACAGGGGCCTCTCATAGCGACTTGTATTCCTAGACCCTCTGAAGTTGAATGTAAAGTTTGGTGTTAACATTCACTTCTACAGATACACCTTGAGAGCTTGTTTGGAGGTTCTAGCAGGGGAGCGCAGCTACTCATATGCCCTTGACGGAGGAACAGTCCTCTTCTATCGGGGGTGGTTGCCCTCTTCGACTGAGCGCACAGCTTTGGGAGGGATGCACATAGAGAGTTGAGGGAGGAAGGGAACACCCGCCTAGCCAGCCAGATTAGTCAAATCAACCCTGGTGGTCAATGAGGTGACAGATGTTGCAGCCACATGGTCCTCACATCCTCTACAGATACACCTTTAATGAAATATTCTCTCTGTCTCTCTTTTTGCAGTACTAGGGATGGAACTCTGAGCCTTTGCAATGAGCTATATCCCAGCCCTTTTTTAACTTTTAACTTTGAGACAGGGTCCTCCTAAGTTGACCAGGCTGAGCTCAAACTTGTGATTTTCCTGCCTCACCTGCCCAGAGTGCTAGGTTTATAAGCATTTGTCACCACCTGGCCCCTTTAATCAGGTTAATGAGATTCTTGATGAACCTTATGATTTATATAAGGTGGAGACCAATGGTTTAGGAGGAAGCACACTTTCCATTCACAGACTTTGGAGCCAGACAGACCTGAATGTGAATTTTGATTTAACTGCATACCGCTGTATGGCTTCGTGACATTATCCACATTTTCTGCCTTAGTTTCCTCATTTGTAGAGTGGTGATGATATGGTACTTATCATACAGTTTCCATGGGGATTAAGAAGGATGAACTATGTCAAGCAACTAAGTGCCCCACCCAGCATAGGTGAATATTTCATCCACCCATCCTCATATATACTTATTGAACATCTAATGTGGACGTAGAAGAGATGCCTCCGTGAGTCACGATCTCTATTCATGATCTCTAGTTAGAGAGATAAACATAGAACAAGTAAACACACAATTCAATAAAATAATGGCAAATTATGTTAAGTGTTTTGAAAGGAAGGAAGGTTGAGATGGGTATTGTTATGGCTTATGTCTTGATGTTCCCCCAAAGCCTCGTGCAGTCATAGGTGGGGCTTTTCAGAGGTGGCTGGATCTAGAGTGGATGATGCTGAGATAAAGTGTATGATGCTCAGATCAAGGTTGTATGATTACTAAATTAGTCTACTGATTGGTTTGGCTTAATTCTGGGCAGGATTATGGGTGCCCCAACCTGAGTGTGAGTGCTAGCTGCCCTAAGGGTTTGCTGCCTTCTGCCTGGCATGAATTCTTTCTCCTTTGTGATGCCCCTCTGCCACACCACCCTGCCTTGGAGCCAGACAACTATGGACTGAAACCTCTATAACCTGTGAACTAAATAAGCCTTTCCCCCTTCAACTTTGGATGTCAGGTATTCTGTCTCAGCAACAAGAAAAGTAACTAAGACAGGTATAGTGGAGGACTTCTCAGAAGAACTGATTTTTCTCTCTTCCCCCAAAAACATGTTACGAAGATACATTTAGTAAAATACCAGAATGTTGGCATATTGACATAAAAACAAAGGCCAGGCATAGTAGTACATAACTGTAGTCCCAGCACTCAGGAAGCTGAGGCAGGAGGATTATTGTGAGTTTGAGGCCAGCCTGGGATACATAGTGAGACACTGTCTCAAAACAAACAAAGAAACCCACCATATAAATCAACCTAATACGGAACTTTAAAAAACCTTGCAGCTGGGGATATAGCTCAGTGGCATAGCACCTGCCTGGCAAGTACAAGGTCATGGGTTCAATTCCCGGTACCAAAAAATATATAAATAAATAAAAATAAAAAACCTTTCACCTGAGGGACAGAAAAAAGAACACTTGTAATATGTCATTTTTGTTTATCATTTAGTAAAGATGAATTATAATGTTTACCATGAAGTGTATTAATATGCATGCAATCATTTATATCAGGACATAGGACAAATTTTCTAAACATGAAATCATTATATAATAACTCAAAAGAAAAAAACCATAGCCTTTAAAATATTTTTATTTTAAGTGGTGTGATTGTACATAGTTATGAGGTAGAATGTGGTGTTTCAATTCATGTATATGCGACCAGATCAGAGTGATTAGCATATCATCACCTCAAAATGTCATCATTTTTTTGTGTTGTGAACACGCAGCGTCTGCAGAGGTGATTTTGAAGTTGATGTAAATGAGGAGAAGGAACTTCAGGCACAGGGGCGGGAGGGAGAGGCATTGGCCTGCACAGGAAAGAGCTTGGGGGTTGAGCAGCTTGAAAACCAGTGCGGCTGAGCAGAGTGAGGACAGACAACAGGAGAGGACGTGAAGGGCCGGGCTGGAATGGCCTCAGTGAAACCCATGGATTTTGCTCTGAGTGGGACAGGAAGCCACGTGAGGGCTGTGTTTATATTTGAAAAGTTCATCTGGCTTCTGTGGGAGGCTGGACTGAGGAGAGCCTGGAGTGCAGAGAGCCAGGAGAGCGTGCTCGGAGCTGCCCTGGGAGACGCGGGTGGGTGGCGGGGAGGGGGAGCCTCAGGCCTGATAGCACTGCTGGTGGCTCAGAGAGCGATCTAGAAAGTGAGATGCGGAGGCACAAAGGCTTCCTGCGGCACTGGCTGGGGGACAGGGGGGCCT